CAGAGCGGAGTTTAGAGCCGTTGTACATAGGGTTGCTATGAGTTGCAAGCGACTCGACAGCACATAACAACAACAACATGCAAAAGCACTTGACTATGTGAAGCATAGCAAATTATGGGTAACATTGAGAAGAATGATAATCCCAAGACACTTAATTGGGCTCATGTGAAATCTGTACACAAACTAGGAAGCTGTTGTCTGTTTTAAAATATGATGTGATTTCAAGTCAGTAAATAAATGTTAAGGTTGTATCCTTTCTCTATATTTATTTAATCTATAAACTGAGCAGATAATTTGAGAAATTGAACTATATGAAGAATGTAGCCTCAGGGTAGGAAGAAGACACATCAACAGCCTTTGGTATGCAGATGATACAGCTGTGCTTGCAGACAGTGAAGAGGATTTAAGAGATTACAGTCTTCAATTAAGAGTATGTTTCACTGTTATGAAAACACAAACAATGGCTAGAGAAACTCTGGTATATCCACACAATGGAATACTATGCTGCTTTGACAAACAAGGAACTCATGAAATATTATACAAAATTAGTGATTTTGGAGGACATTATGCTGCATGAAATATCTCAGTCACAAGAGGGCAAATACTACATAAAATGGGACTGACGTCAGAGTTGGGGGGAAACTAAGGGGAATAAATAATGTGTACTGCATTGAAACAGATGAGGGAGAGAATTTTTTAGGAGGAATATATGATTAGATATTATTGTCATGACAATGGTCCACAATGAAAGCTGCCTAGTGGAGTGGACTCGGGGAGGGGGGATTATATAACAATGAATTTTTTTTTATTACTTTTCAAAGAGAAAAGTGAGCTTGGGGAAAGGGTGGGCATGGAGGAAAGTGCAAATGTGAATAAATGGAAATCCAAAGTCTCTGTAAATTCATTAAAATAAATTAAAAAGTAAAAAAAAATTTAAAAAAAATTAAAAAGACTTTAAAAAAAGGGGGGAGGTGGGGAGCAAGCTGCATGAAGCAGTGATTAAAAAAAACCCAAAACGGAAATTCTTGCCACTGGGCCAATAGGCAACATCATGATAGATGGAGAAAAGATTGAAGTTGTTAAGAGTTTCATTGTACTTGAATTAATATGCAACACCCATGGGAAAAGCAATCAAGAAATCAGAAGGTATGTTACACTGGGAAAGTCAGCTGTCAAGGACCTCTCCAAAGTGCTAAAGATCACTGATGTCAGTGCAAAGAGTAAGGTATATCTGCTCCAAGTCACAGACTTTTCACTTACTTTGTATGTGTCTGAAAGTTGGACAGTGAGTAAGGATGACATAGTGTTGGAGAAGAAAACTGAGTATCCCATAGCATGCCAAAAGAACAAACCGGAGTGTTCCTTAGAGGCGATGATGATGAAACTTCATCTCATGTAGTTTGGGCATCAGTCCTGGAAAAAGACATCGTGCTGAGAAAGGTCAGAGAAGAAGGGAAAGACCTTCAACAAGGTGGATTGACACGGTGACTGTTACAGTGAGCTCGAGTATATCAGAGGTGGTGAGGATGGTGCAGGATATGGTTGCCATGAGTTGGTCAACTAGATGGCACCTGACAACAGTAACAATTTTAATATATTTTAATATCTAGAGGTTCTGTTGTACATAGGGTTTTCGGAGGCCTGCTATTTCAGAAGTGGATGGCCAATCCTTCCTAGTCTGTTGTAATCTGAATGTTCAGATTTAGAGAAGTATCAGACAGACCAGCCTTTTACAGAAAAGTGAAAGATATATCCCTTATTGTGGAGTCAACCATTTGTATCAGTGTTGTCCCTGCCCTTGGCACACATGTCTTTACCCACTTATTTTCCTGCTCCACCATCCACAAGGATACCCATCCACTTCTACCCACTCCCTTCAACATCCATTTCCCATTGTCCTGCCCTTGATCTGATAGCTTATATCTGAAGCTTCCTTGGCTTCTGTGATTCTAAATATGTCGGCTTCAGACAGTTTCTTGTGATGTGACCAGTGTCTCTTAAGTTCAGTGGCAATGCTTTCCGAGCAAAGGTGATGTGTCCTATAGAGCTGGTGTGTTTTCAACCTGTATGGAAAACAGATTATCCGGGAGGCTTGGCTCTATGAGGAGAAATGTGGGGTCAAGATTGGTGGAAGATCTGTCAACACTCTGTGATATGTAGATGATACAACTCTGCTTGCTGAAACTAAGGAGGACCTGAAGTGCTTGCTGCAGAGGGTCAAGGACTGCAGCCTTCAATATGGATTGAGGCTCAATGTCAAGAAGACAAAGATTCTCACCATTAGGCCAATTGGCAGCATCAGGATGGATGATGAAGAGAATGAGATTGTTCACAGCTTTAGTTTGCTTGACTCCACAGTCAACACTCTCGGCACCAGCAGCCAGGAAATTAGAAGACGTATTGCCATGGGAAAGTCTGCTGTTAGGGACCTCTCCAAAGTGCTGAAAAGTAATGGTGTCTCATTGGAGACTAAGGTGCCTCTGATACAGGCTGTGGTCTTTGCTATCACTTGTTATGCATCAGAGAGTTGGACAATGACTAAGGAGGATAGAAGGAGAAGTGGTGCCTTTTAGCTGTGGTGCTGGAGAAGAGTACTGACGTTACTATGGACTGCTAAGGAAACAATCAGATTCATCCTGGAAAGGATTAAACTGGGCTGCTCCTTGGAGGCAAGGATTCTGAAGCTACGTCTAACATACTTTGGACATGTTGCAAGGAGGGACAGGTCCTTGGAGAGGGACATCATGCTTGGTAGGGTGGAGGGACAGCGCAGAAGGGGAAGGCCCCCTATGAAGTGGATTGATTCAGTGATTGGGGTAATTGGGATGGGAGTGTCAGAGATGGTGCGATTGGCACAGGACAGAGCAGAGTTTAGGGCTGTTGTACATAGGGTCGCTATGAGTCGCAAGCGACTCGACAGCACATAACAACAACCACAACAATATCTAGAGATGTTAAAGAACATCATTTAATCTTTATCTGTAAATGAATGGTCTCTTATTTTTGGTCAGAGAAGTCTCAATTATTATTTAGTCTGTTATTATTAAAGAGCCTTCGTGAGGAAAAATTATGTAAAAATGGGATGAGAATTAATGTTTTAACTGAGCAATTAAAATAATTAAATATAAATATCGACTAATTTTTATGATCTGGAGTCTGAGGTGCACCTGATCCAGGCCCTCGTCTTTGCAGTTACTTGTTGTGCGTCAGAGAACTGAACAATGACTAGGGATGATAAAAGGAGAACTGATGCCATTAAGCTGTGGTGCTGGAAAAGTGTTAAATATACTATGGACTGCCAGGAGAACAAACAGGTTTGTTCTACCGAGAGTGAAACCAGGTTGCTCCTTGGCGGCAAGGATTCTGAAGCTCTGTCTGCAAGGGGGGACCAGTACTTGGAGAGGGAGATCATGCTTGGGATGGTGGAGGGACAGAGCAAGAGACCCTCAATGAGATGAATTGATTCAGTGACTGAAGTAATGGGGGTAGGTGTGTCAGAGACAATAAAGTTGGCTCAGGATGGAGCTGAGTTCAGAGCTCTTGTACATAGGGTTGCTGTGAGTCGCAAGTGACTTGAGGGCACATAACAACAACAACACCAGTCCCTACATGTTTTAAGTGGTAAAAATGAAGAATTTCTTAAACATAAACTTTTGCATAAAACATAAATGTTTACCTGCAGTGTGTTTTGTTTTTTCTCCCTTCTTTGCTTTAGGGCCATTTTAAGTGCCAGATCTAGTTATTTTGCTGCGATGCTGAGTGGCTGTTGGGCTGAAAGCTTCCAGGAGTGTATTACTCTTCATGGGTAAGCAAAAATTTTTACAAGGCATATTTACTACAAATGATTTAAAATAGTACTTCATACAGAGTACTTTTCATGAAACTGGTTTCTTTATATGCTCAATGAAATATGTAGTGCAATTTAATAAATTATATTTTCTGAATGCTTTTTTACCTTTATTTCCACTTCCCCCTTTCTTCTCTGCCTAGTTCACCAGCAGAGCCTTGGGCTACATTCTTGGTCTAACTTTCTATGCCCTCAGTCAGCTCTCCCAAGGGCCACTGAAGTAGTTGTATTCTGTACCAACTTGGTAGCTTGGACACAGTCCCCTTCTTTGGTCTCTCCTGCCTGACCTAATTCTTTAACTGAGTGAGGAGAGCAAACCAGGGCATTGACCCCATGATAAGGGTTTTGCCTCTCAAACACCTGAAAGATGTATCCTACTGAAGAGTTTCCTTCCACTATGATGACATAAAGATATTTGCTTAATTTAAGAAGCATGGTGCTAGCAAATCAAGAATCTGAGTATGCCAATTCTAGAGAGAATCAGTTTTTCTCATTTTGAAAACTTGTCTAGGGACTATGCTTGATATCTGCTCTTTTTGTGTGCAGTCAAGTCAGATCTGACCCATACCCACCTTCCAGTTGGTTTTCAGAGACAGTTAATCTCACAGGAGATTGTCCATCCCTCTTCTACAGAGTAGCTGGTGAATTCAAACTGCATGCCTTTGGGATAACAGCACAGCTTCTTATCACTAGGCCACCAGAGCTCCGTATGCTTGATATATGCTAAACCTCATTCTCAAGAACTGTTAATTAATATCCACAAAGACTGAACTCAGTAAAAACTTAAAGAGGGAAACAACAATACTTTGACTCAGAATGTACATGTCAGCTTTTAATAATAATCTTCTTGTTTTTATAGTGCAAAAAAGAATGAAGTGTATGACTTATGAAATCTTGTGTTGTTGTTGTTGATTGCTGTTGCGTTGAGCACAACTCATAGCGACCCTATGAACAAAAAGCCTTTCCATAACTATCAACATTTATCAAAGTTCATGGAGTTTACAAAGACATGTTGTTTAGGAAGTGGATTCCACTTCTGCTATTCTACAATATTCTTCACCAACACTAAAAACATGGTGACCCATGGCTTGGTATATCTGACACAAGGTGTCAAAGTGGGTTTCAAATGAATCATCAAAATGGATAGACTGGTACTATCCATGACTAGGCTCAGTCTTCTTAACAGTATTTTCCTGTTACTTCTATTATATTAAGCAAGGCTCTGCCCATATTAGTCCATTCTATGCAGAGCTGTGATATTGGTTGAGATTCTTTGCTAATGCTGAATACCTTGGAAATTGGGATTCATTTGTTTTTGGTTAAGTTTTTTTATCTTGCTTGATAAAGATTTATAATACTAATATTGTATTAGAAAGTAGGTCCTGATGAATGCATAGTTTTATATATATATATAACTGTTGTTATTGCATAATGCTGTAATAAATAATAATATATGTTGTTGTTAAGTGGTGTTGAGTTGTAGATGACTCATAGCGAACCTATGAACAAAAGACCTGAACACTTGTCTAACTTTC